TTCATTTTATTTCATATCGCTTTATGGAAATAATTATAAAATTATAATTACTTATTACAGTCTTTAGATATGCGGCGGTCCATCATAATATTATAATTAAGGTACTCGAAAAAACACTTAAAACTTATCTATGCGACTGTACATATTTCTCATTTTATCAAAACAGAGTAAAGTACAAAACGACTTCAAGAGGTAACAACTAGAATGTAGTCTAAATAGTTACATTTAAATCTTTATCCTGTATTTTTCCACCATAGGGAATATTTATATTATAGCTATTTTTATTTTATATTATAGTTGTTGCATATAGTACTTTTTACTTTAAAAAAAAATTAAATCGGTTCAACTGTTTCCGAGAAAACGGTGAACATACATATTATATGTACTTAAAAAAACAAACGCATTGAGAATAGAACGCTGTCGTTTTCTTTTTAACTCTGTTAAAAAGGTGATATGTATGCCTTCTAATAATAAAAGTTTACTATTTGAGTTACGCTGCAACATGCTATGGCTGCAGCACGGATGGGTTGGCTCAACGAGGAAGGACCACTCTCGCACAGAGCAACAGAATGAAAGAGTAGCACAACAACAAAGACCTCAATAAAAACGTAAATGTGAAAAAGTCTATTCGCATAAATATTAAAAAGGGTGGACCATATCGAAAGAAAAGTAGGTCAGTGGGTTTCTTTTTTTATAGAATTAGGGTGACAAACGAGCACACAGTCCACCTGATGGTAAGTAGTTGCTGTGGCCCGTAGAAATCTACATCTATCCTCTATTACAAAGCAGAATGTAGATGCGTTGTCACCCGTGAGAACTAAGATGGTATGCCTCATTTCCAGTAAAAAGGGTCTCCGGTTCCGACCCATTCGTGCTACAACTATACCAGCAATATAGCTGCAGTATGGCTCTACCACGTAAAAAATCTTAGGTTCGCTTGAAATACCAACGCTTGTCTAGCTTGAAGACTTGTACATTGGTGACGTAAGAATATTCATCACCCAATATCACAATTTGGAATTACAACATCAAGAGGCAACTATGGGGTATACGAAAAGATTTTGAAACCTGATAAAGAGCGGTATCAACCATCTCGTATACTACAGGCGTAAAATAGTGAATCTGGCGACCGTCATACCACCCGCCAAGCGTGACGATCATTAGGAAATCTGCAATGATAGAGGCGCATATCTAATAGATGAGCATGTGATTCGATGAAGAAGGCCAAGGTAAAATGAGTTAGCCAGTTTGCAACTGCGACGGCGATTTGCAAATACTAAAATATAATAACTGAATTATAGCAAACAGATAGCTGTACTTTCTCTTAAATAATATATTAAAGGTAGCGGTACAAATACATGACTTTCAGAAGTGCTTGTAGAATGTATATATCAGATAAGACCATAAATACAATCATATCTGGAGTGTATACTCACAGATTATCATTAGTAAACAGCTCTGGTACATTGCTCATATTTGGATTTCATATTACATGTTTTTTCTATGTCTGATATTTGTGGGTTTATTTTCAAGAGTGTTTGTGTAGTTGTTTATGAAAAGCAAAACGTAACATTTATCTTTAGTTGACTGTTGCATTAATTTCGTCTTCATAACTATTTAAATATTTATTTTTGCATACAAAGTTACAAACACTATTAATTCATTACAAAATATTTTCAAATATGAATTTTGAAAGTAATTTTTTCTAAATAGAACTAGAATACTAATATATTAATAGTAATGTTGCCTAAACTGTAACTTCAATAAGTAAACAACATAAATAATCTCTCTCTAGGACTAAGATGGAATGCCTCGTTTTCAGTAGAAAGGGTCTCCGGTTACTCTACACTCGCCATACAAAACACAGTAGCATTGAGCTGCTATTTTCCGCTGGCATTGTGTGAGAGCGTGTTCTTTACCCGGTCGAGCCGACCCATTTGTGCTACAACCAAAATATAGCAACATGGTTCTACCACATAAAATATCAACGCTGCATATCTTGGCAATTTGGATTTTATACTCCTAATAACAAAGGTGAGAATACCTTGTTATCAGTACAAAAGATTTCTTGCTCTTGTCACTCGCTATACAAAGCACAGAAGCAATATGCTGCTATTTTACGCATCATGGCCCTCACCCGGCCCACCATATTTATTTGTACTATTGCCATATTTTTTTTGATAGGAGAGGGTGCAAACGAGCATGCGGCTCACCTGATGGAAAGTGAATACCGCCGCCCATACATAACTTCAACATCAAGGGAACCAGGGGAATCGCAGATGCGTTGCCGGCCTTTTAAAAAGGAATTGGCTCTTTTCTTGAAGGTCCCTAAGTCGTATCGGTCCGGAAAAATCGCTGGTGGTAACACAAGGAATCCAGCATTCAGCATCAATGTGGTTTTAGCACGTAAAGAGGCGGAACAATAGTTTATTTTATCTCATCAAGCCCGTGAAAAGGTCACTGTTGAATATGGTACTCGCCTATACAAGAGAGGAGATGGTATTATCAACACGCTTGATCGGCGACGTTTCTCACCTTATACGTTGCTTCCTATAACGTGTAATTGGTACTAATATAATATAGTACGTGATATACGAATCTATGAGGTCTATTTTCAAGAATGGACTTTCGATATGCAGTAACGAGAAACGAAATGAATACAAAAGTGGTATACGATGGTCCATTGATACCATCGAACGCCACTACACTGTCCACAACCTTTATATCTTTATACTTGACATCCTAGATACAAAAAAGTTACTTTAACTAAAAAGGCTTCAATACTTTTATTTTTAACTAGCTGTTCCCCGCAACTTCGCCCGCGTGTAATTTAGGGTTTTAATTTTGTTGCGCGGAACCCTAATTATTTTTCTAAAATATAAGTAGCCTAAGTTACTCCTTATAACATCAGCTATCTACCAGTGAAAGTCGCGTTAAAATCGGTCCAGCCGTTTCGGAGATTAGCCGGAACAAACAGACAGACAGACAAAAATTTTAAAAATTGTGTTTTAGTTATCAGTACCGTATTTACTTACATATGCATTTAGTAAAAAAAACTGTAATTTTGACATTACAAACAGACGCTTCAATTTTATTTATTTGTATAGATGTATATATTCATCCGTCCATCTATTACAGACTATTTTATTTTTAACTAAGTGTGGCCCGCGACTTCCTCCGCGTGGAATTTATTACGATCAGATTTTATGGATTTTAATTTTTTTTTGCGCGGAACCCAAATAATTTTTCTAACATAAAAGTAGCCTAAGTTATTCCTTATAAAATTAGCTATCTGCAAGTGAAAGACCCGTCAAAATCAGTCCAGCCATTTCGGAGATTAGCCGGAACAAATAGACAGACAGACAGACAAAAATTTTAAAAATTGTGTTTTTGTTATATGTACCGTATATACTTTCATATGCATTTAGTAAAGAGTTGTTATTTTGATATTACAAACAAACACTTCAATTTTATTTAATTGTATAGATAAACGAATATACCTACTAGCAATGCGAATTAACGTTACCTACTAATATTCCCTTTAACCACTCGGGGTAAACATTTTATTTTTTAAGGTTATGTTATTGGTGGCTTATGAAAGACCACCCCTGAACATGAGCCTCCTCTAAGAAAATTGGCTTATACTTTAATACTTTCCAATAAATGAAAAGACGCCTGCGCGTATCTTATGATTGGCGATTATTGACTTGGTACCTTGTTAGGTATATGTTATGTGTCCCTCAGACTAAAATTTAAAGAAAAAAACATATTAACTTTGGCATCGCAATATATTTATGAAAATGTAATGTATGTACATAAAAACATAAATAGCTTTAATAAGAATAAGGATGTGCATACTTTAAACACTAGGAACAAACATAAGCTTGTAATACCAGTTACTAGACTCCACAGAATCAGTAATTCATTTATGTGGCAATGTATACGCTTTTACAACAAAATCCCAGAACATATTCAAAGTTTGTCAATAAACAAGTTTAAAAGTTTTATTAAAGAAAAACTGTACAAAACGGGTTATTATAATATCAAGGAATACATGAATAAAAATAACCCCTGGGAATAAGGTGATCGCCACCATGCTGGTTCTATGAAAATTATTTAAAAATTGTATAAACGAAATAATGTTTGAAAAAAAAGTCCCTCTGGGTTTCTTGCTGGTTCTTCCCAGGACAGAGGTATTTTCCGAACCAGTGGTAAATAAAAATGACTTTCAATAAGAATTATGTAATAATCGATATTGAATAAAAAATTATTCTATTCTATTCTGTCAACTTAAGCAAAACTTTGTTACATCCAACTAGCTAAGAAACGTTGAAAGTGACAGTAAAGGTCAAATAAAAGGTTAAACCTTAGACCGCGTCAATTTTCTAAAGGTAGGTATATAATGTTGGCGATTATCATGCGAATACTAGAAATGTTTTAAGAAGAAAAAGACTTTTAGAAATAGTTATAAATCATATTTTTATCTATACCCACATCAATTGACACCTAAGCCAATTAATTTATACAATAGACTGCAAGCTTATGAACACCTAGCTGTTCCCCGCGACTTCGCCTGCGTGTTATTTGGCGTTTTAATTTATTCGCGCGGAACCCTAATTCTTTTTCTAAAATAAAAGTAGCCTAAGTTACTCCTTGTAACATCAGCTATCTGTCAGTGAAAGTCTCGTTAAAATAGGTCTAGCCGTTTCGAAGATTAGCCGGAACAATCAGACAAATAGACAGACAGACAGACAAAAACTTTAAAAATTGTATTTTTGTTATTAGTACCGTATATAGGTACTTTCATATGCATTTAGTAAAAAGCTGTAATTTTCACTTCAATTTTATTTATTTGTATAGATGACGCAGAAGAAACACTATTTTTTCAATTTATTTACACATTTCCGAAACAAAGTCATGCGTTTTATATCAGTGCTAACGGTACAAAATTCACAATATTAATACAATTTTGCAGCAAATGTTTAATAAATAATTCTTACCTTGAATAAATTTCCGCTTAATCTATCTTGTCGCTGCTGATATGTGAAATACTTGCAAAATAAACAGCTACAACGCGAATAAAAGTTCAAACGTAGTTGAAGGCTATTGAGAAACGGAGCTTCTTCTTAAAAACTTTCATCTTTCTCTTTACAAAGGGATCCACTGTGATATTTTCTAAAGTCAAAGATTCAGTATGAACTTTATTATAATAATATTTTTGTAGAATTTAACCATTAAAACTGTTGACTGGATTTACACCATACGCCAAAAAAGCCATTTGCCTTATGACAGATTAAGAAACTTTCGCGGTAAAATTCAAAAATAGAACAATAGTACGTCGGTCAGCAAAAATGGCGTCGTGTGATCTCGAGGCTAATTTCACTGGACGTATTGTTATTTTTATTGGAAAATTAGCCTTTAATGGCCGGATTGATGCGTTACAGACTCTTAGAGTCTTGCCCACGCGTACTCCGCGACACGACTGAACTAATGCAATCCTTTCGTCGTCAAATATTCAGCTTAATAATTTAAGACCAATGTATATAGTATATGGCTCTGTATATGGTAGATCTGTGGTATCACTAAATGTGTACATTCGCGATACAGAATGATAGAGAGCTTATACAACGCCCTATGACATATTAAATACGATATTTTTATTCATATTAACGTCTTGCAGACCGAATTTTAGCGACCAGTCACAACGAAGACTAGCCGTCTGCCCTTAACAAAATTATAGTGCATATATGTATAGAGTGTGTGCGCATGCACTGGTGCACTTCTATTCCCTCATTCTCGAAAGTCGGATAGAACAACCGACACGACCGGAGAGAGATCAGGCAGGACCAATGACTTTACGTGTTTTCCGAAGCCGGGGGTTGAAACATTGCTAACTTTCCGAAATTAGGTTGCTACTGAAAATTTCTTGATAGAAAAACTCAATAATTGATTTCGGTCCAATTCGAAATCTAAACCCAGAGTCACATGGTCATCAGTTGCTCAGATTTTTATTCATAATTACTATAAGAATCTTAGATATATTATGTTGTTAAATCTGCGAGAAAAATCGTTATTATATTTACAACCTATGTATTTAAATTTCTTTGACAATACTGTATCTCAATTCTCTATTCAAATGTGTGTCTCATACATATATGACGGCTGAGTAGTACAGTTACTAAACGTTTGAATTCGGCAACGCAAGCCGCAAGTTGTTAACTACTATTGTACGATGGTATTTTGTGAGAGCGTAGTCCTTATCTGGATTTTTTTTTATAGGATAATGTTGACAAACGAGCACACAGTCCACCTGATGGTAAGTGGTTGCTGCGGCCCATAGACATCTACATCTATCCTCGTTTGCGAATCAAAATGCAGATGCGTTGTCACCCGTGAGGACTAAGATGGAATGCCTCATTTCCAGTAAAGAGGGCCTCCGGATGAACGAAATCATTCCTATGGCATTGTTAAAAGGGTTTTAGGGTAAGGCAGTATCCAACATGCCGCCATAATGCATGGTAGACTTCACATGTCCCTGAAATAATTTCTTATACATGGTCTGAGGTTTCCTTGCAAGTTTTCCTTCACCATGAAGCACATGGACTATAAAGGACTTAAAATTAATGCAATCAACAATTCAATTGGTGCCGGGTTTATATTTATCTTCCAGGGATCGAATCCGAGTTGCTCGCGTACTGTGAAATAGCTCCTAAGCTACCACAACTCATGCTAGTAATATGTCTCAAAAATACATTTAATTTTTATCAATTACCATAGTGGTTAGAAAGATTAAACTGCAGAGTCCATACTTTAGAAACGCAATAACTAACACACCTCATAAAAGTGTGTCGTAATGTATTTAAATCTTATCTGTCTAAGGAAAACAATAAATTTCAGCTATCATATAATATATAAAAACTAGCTGTTCCCTGCGACTTTGCCTGCACGTAATTTATTACGATTGGATTTCATGGGTTTTAAATTTTTGCGCCCAACCCTAATAATTCTTTTTCTAAAACAAAAGTGAAAGTCAGTGAAAGTCCGGTCAAAATTGGACCAGCTGTTTCGGAGATTAGCCGGAACAAACTGACAGACAGACAAAAATTTTAAAAACCGTTTTTTTTTTGTTATAAGTACCGTATATACTTTCATATGCATTTAGTAAAAAGGTGTTACTTCGACATTACAAACAGACACTTAAATTTTATTTATTTGTATAGATGTACAGATTAAAGTTTGTTTGTTCGTGTTTTTACGCTGTCATACCGTTCATCAGATTGCGTCAAAACTTATTGCTTGCACTTGCGGAAAAGACATAGGTATAGTACAATTAAATTTCAACAGATGGCGCGCGTATCGTACCGATAAATTTATTTGAAAGTTATAATATATTATTCAATTTCAATGAAGGTTTATCATTACTAATTAAAGAATATAACTCTTCCAAATTTTAAACGGTGATTCCACATTTATTACTTCTGTGGCAGCAACGCGACGGGTTAATTAACCAGCTAGTTATAATTTTGTAAATGTAACTTACACATTGGAGGACCAACTTGAGAGTTTTTATCACAATAAGCGACCCTCAATATTTTCTATTGCGAATATAAAGATTTTTTTTAAGGACAAAGGGTGGTCGAATTGGGCAGAACAAAGTCTGCTTGGCCAGGTAGGATATTATAATCTTTAACAATACTGAATTTCAAAACAAACGATAAGGTATTAATATACCGATAGTTAGTTCGATTTACTTTTTTTATAGGATAGGGTGACAAACGTGTGCTCGTTTGTCATCCTATCCTATATTCTAGTCCACTTGATGGTAAGTGGTTGCTGTGGCCCACAGACATCTAGTTCTAACCTCAATTACGAATCAAAATGCAAATGCGTTGTCACCCGTGAGGACTAAGATGGAATGCCTCTTTTCCAGTAAAAAGGGTCTCCGGTTCTCTACACTCACCATACGAAACACAGCAGTGTTAAGCTGCTATTTACGCTGGTATTCTTCTGTTACTTGGCTCTTCTTGGTTACAAAAGAACACTACCTAGTTATTTTAGCTGTTTGACAGTTGAAACTCATAAAGCTTGAGAAGAACAAAGATAGTTCTTCATTAATTTTTAACGAGCATATTAAAACATAGACCAAAATCCAGAACAAATTAAAAAAATATGGGGCGGTGATTGTCCAGCAATTGACTTTGAAAGACTATTATAAATAAATGAATGAAATAAATAAAAGAACATATAAATAATAATATAGTAATAAATTTAGTTATTGAATAAATATTGATACAGCAAAGTTAAAGTCCTGACTCCCGAGCTAGCAATAGCTGTGTGCCCGGATTCAATTCCTTCCCATATCCACAAAGCTACAGTTACAATACGGCTGATCACAAATCAGAACAAGGTAACAAGGTAAAGAAGTTATTCATATAGAATGTAATGGTTCAATGTTAATGAATGTTTCAGGTACTCATTCTTCCTTGAGATGTTATACGGGTATCATGAGAGCTTCGAGGTTTCAAATTACCATCTAATATTCAAATTATGCAAAGTGGATTATATTTAACAACCATTTCACATTGAAATAACAATTTCTTATAAAGTATCAAAATTATTTCAGTACGGTCTTTCCAACTCTATATGCTTCTCCAATACAAGACTTATAGAAGTGTCTCACAATAATTTTATTGTACACTTAGTACGACGCCTACGTATTCGTCTTTGTTCTGTACCCATTACAGTACAGATTCCTGCAATCAGCATCACATTCCTTTGATAGACATCCAGCACGTGATACCTTTATCTCCTGCATATATAATCATACTACCTTTATTGACGTGACGAAATTAGAATTCTGACAACTCAATACTGTTTTGATTACAGTTTCGTTCAACAGAATTGCGTAAAAAATACGAGTATATTAGTAATGTCTTAAATATTATTATTATATAAAATTAAATGTAAAATAATATATTATATAATTATATCCTATAATTTAAGCAAGAAGTTCTTTTTTAGATTAAATGTGTATCAAATTTTATATTTAGTTAATGTTTTACAGTCTAAAGAACAAGGGCAGAAAAATTGTTGACAAAAATTATCACTTTAGTTTTATTTTTTTTCTACGATTTTACTCTATTCAAGTGTTGCCATTTAGTATATTCATACTATTTTCGTATACACTTTGGAAGACTACCAACATAACACAAAATATTTTATATTAAGTTATTATTAGTAATAACTATACTATCAGTAATAATAAAAATAAAAGTTATATGGTTGAAATTAAGTCTCTTCCTACAATAATACATTATCTCAATCATACTACGAGGGTGGATTGAAAAGTACTCGGCCTAACACAGATCCATTCAATTCTAAAAATCAAATCTACCCACATTATTTAGTTCAGTTCAGACTAGTTCATTGTGTGAAGTTCGAAACGTGTGCGATAATTAGTTGTGATTTTATAAATTTATTAACAAAGAAATCGGACATAATTTCCGCGAATAGAGCAAATCGAGCAGCGTGCCGTCATTAAGTACCTCCATAAGAAGGGGCTATCATCAAAAGCCATCCATGATGACATGGTCAGTACATTAGGCGATTGTGCTCTGTCATATTCATCCGTCAAAAAATGGATAGCAGAATTTAAGCGTGGTAGAGAGAGTGTGAAAGATGAACCCCGCTCTGGAAGGCCTTCGACGTCAACTACTGACGAAAATATTAAAAAAGTACTTGATTTAATAATGGGAGACCGCAGATTAAAAATTAGAGAGATAGCCGAGATTATAGGCATCTCTTATGAACGAACTCAAAACATCATTTTCAACGAGTTGGGTTTCCACAAGGTGTCTGCGAGGTGGGTTCCGCGACTGCTTTCAGTTGAACAAAAAAGGACGCGATTGACTATTTCACGCGACTGTTTGGAGTTATTTGAAGCCGATGCAGATGATTTTTTGAATCGTTTTGTTACTATGGACGAAACATGGGTTCATTACTGTACACCGGAAACAAAACAACAATCAAAACAGTGGAGAAGACCTGGTTCACCACCCCCTAAAAAGGCTAAGTCGATTTTGTCGGCAAATAAGGTGATGGCTTCAGTATTCTGGGACTCGAAAGGTGTGATTATGATTGATTATCTTGAAAGGGGTCAGAATATAAACTCTGATTACTACTGCACCTTACTACGTCGTTTACGAGAGGAAATAAAAGAAAAACGTCGAGGAATGCTCAGAAGAAAAGTCCTGTTTCATCAAGATAACGCCCGTGTTCACACGTCAGTACAGTCAATGGCTGAAATTCACAACTGTGGCTTTGAACTGTTACCGCATCCACCGTATTCACCTGATCTGGCACCATCAGA